CAACAACGACAAAGTTATACATTTTATTTTCCCTTTTCATAATGTTTGTTTTGTATTTTCTGGAATATCGTCATAGAAAAATACTATATTACATAGAATAGAACTTTACACAATCTGAAAAAACAAACAAACCACAATGTCAACATATCGCACACGTCACAAGAAGCCCGGTCCGGAATCGTAACACAGTCCGATGCCACTTGTCAACGCATCTTTTCAAAATAAGACAAACGTGTAACGATCAGAAATGTGAAGCAAATATTGAAAATACTTGTATTTCTTTACTTTGTGTACAGACAGTTTGCTGCAAGTTAAATTCATGTTTACACAGAAATCTGGTAAAGTTTTCTGAGCAAGAAAGTCACAGAGGCTCTTCAGGAATCGATCCACGTGATTCGACTCTGAAGCTAATTTGATGAATTCATTTTTCATTTTCTGGAGAGCAGACTCGTTGCTAAATTCCAAGATTGATTAGATCAGATAAGAAAAAAATAAAAAAATAAATAAGATGAGGCCATGACGTAAAACAACCATTTTCAGTTCAACAAGATATTTATACTTCAAAACAATTACTTTTTGTTGGACCCGCTGTCGTTATGAGAGATGAGGAATTAAAACCTTTTCTCCAGGCTTCTTCTCTGCTCAGGGAAATTGAATTGTGGATCAATAATAATTTTTCTCCACCCAGATTGAATTATTAGCAACTAGTATAATTTGCAGTGTCAGTCGTAAAACCATTTAACTGTAAACATGAAATTACCTGAAATAAAATCACACTTAAAAACATATTTTTTCATTTCCTCAACAACTTGACTTCACTTGTGTTACGATTCTGGATTTTGGCTTTAAACTGACCTTTGACCCAGAAATGCATAGGGAGTATGACCGACCACATACGTATTTACATACATACATGAAAACCAACAGAACAGTTTGGAAGGCTTTTAAACGTCTCTCTCTTTTGTTGAGTTTATAAAAACATGGATTTTTTCATTTCATTTTTTTTTGGCCACTTGATTTTGCGTAAAAAAAAACCCCACTCTTTTTTTTTTTTTAACGTTGTACATGAAAATACTTACAGTGCATGGTATTCAACAGTGTGCTTCTCTTTTTGTAGTAAGTGCTTGGAAAGAGGTTGAAGTCCCTTTTTCTTTTTTTTGTTGTTGTTGTTCGTTCGCTCGCTCACAAAAACTGAGTCTGACGTGTTTTCTGTCTCATCGGGGTTCGGGTGACGAGCCCTGATGACAATCGCCACTGTACAATGAAATGTACACCACCTGCCGCTCGCTCTGACTCACACACACACACACACACACAGGCGCTAACACTCGTGCTCGAAAGCTCAGACGAGCTGAAGCGCGTTCAGAAGGAAAAACAAAAGTCATGCACACATGTAAACACACATGTATATAGTGCACACAGAAACCAACAAACACACACACAGATGCACACATGACGATAAAAAGTCACACACACACACACACACACACACACACACACATAGGGGCGTTCTCGAGGGGGGCAGCTGGATTCTAACTGTGTTATGTAACGATGTGAGGAAAGAGTGAGAGACCCAACCAAAGTGAAAGAGAACGAGAGAACAGAGGTTGTGATTGTTCCCTCTCTCTCTCTCTCTCTCTCTTTCACTCATGTGTATTTTTCATGTGTGTTTTACACACTTCTGCACACACACGTCTCTCACATGTCACCTTCCGACCTGTGTACGTTCCCCCTTCCGTCACACGTACACACGTGTTCGGCTGCAGCTGCCGATCCGCAGTTGAATCGCACAAGATTTTGGCAGGAGTCACGAGAAAACCATGAAAATCAGAAGTTGACAGAAGAGGAAGGAATCTGTTGTTCCCGAACAGAACCAAACAGGAAGCGTGGAGAGGTGGGGGGGGGGGGTAACTTTGGATTTCTCGCCATAGTCGCTAACATAGTTAACTAATAATATAATCGACTGAACTGAATTATTACTTTTGAAATAATCCAACAACTGTGGTGTCGTATTTTTTTTTTTGACAGTTCAGGACTAAAACAAATCCAAACATCCAGAAACGTGAACGAATGTTAAGTCGAGCACACACGGTCTGAACAGCTCGGTGCTTCATCTGCCGCCTGACAAATTCAGTCACACTGTTCGCAGATGACACCATCATCTGTATTTGTGTGTGTGTTCATGATTGGAACCACGTGAAAGTGCTGTGTGCAGCATTTTGAAAAATCATTTGCGAAACATGTTGTTATATCTTCTCGTTACATAGCCTCGTCTGAAGCACGGGTTGCCCCCTGAAACATGTCGCTCCCTGTCATGATGCTGCTTGTTTCTGTTGCTCTAATCGTAGAAGGAGGAGCAACAACGCTAAATCGCATCTTGCAGGAAAATGTAGAAACCTCGTAGTTGTTCAGCAGCAGCTTGCAAAGAGAGTGGATGTGTGGTTTTCACGGCTCAGCACTGGTCCTAAGGAGAATCATGATGTATTCCAGTGGGCATTACGAACGGCTCTTATGTAACATGTTTGTCTAATGCAAAGATTAACCATGTTGGATAAACACGTTTGCATTGGTGTTTAGTTTTATCTGCCATCTGCTTTTCTCAAGCTCACAGGCTTTAACCTGTTTCCTGTTGTAGTGGATTTAGTTTCGCAGTGTAACACAGTGTTTAAAGAATACTAGCTAACGTGGAACTGGATTTCTCAGGAGTGCTACACACGGCACATTCAACGGTCTAACGAGGTGTTGCGTAACGAACACAGCTGCCATGAGAGAAAAGATTTTTCGCAGGGAGAGTTCGGTAGTCGATCGTTAATGACGGCAGAAATTCAGATTTTCTCCCTTTTTTGAAATCAACGCGGTGAAACATCCGATATATAGAAGTACGAGTACAGAACTGGACACCTGGAAAAAAAAAACCCTTTCCAGAAAGTGACTCTTGGGAATTGCATCGGAGCAGAAATACTGGAGCAGAATGTTAGCAGCAATATGGCTACATCTGTACAGACACAATGTAAAAAAAAAAAAAACTAAATCTGAAACCTAAGCAAGGCTGTCGTCTCTGAATCAGAGCAGTTGCACTTTAAAATTCCTAAAATGTGTAATAAGGCAGATTCATCTGGAGCCATCAGCACTGGACATCTCTCTAAAGCTGTGGCCTCGCATCGAAATGCAGCTGAAATGGCTTTGCTCAAATTTCAGGTTTGTTTTAATAAAAAAAAAAAAAATGAAACAAAAAAAAATCTGTATCAGTTAAAATGGTTTTACGTCCCAAGTCAGTGGTCGTTTGTGCTCGAGCAGCGATGTGAGGCTTCCGAGCCGAGTCGTCACGGAGCCTCTGGTGGTTTCTCTGCAAACTGGCCGCGCTTTCGTAGAGACAAGTTGAATTATTGCAAGCTGCTGGATTGTGTGTGTGTGTGTGTGTGTGTGTGTGTGTGTGTGTGTGTTTGGGCCAGTTCCAGTTATACTGTAAGTTTACACCAGTTTTAAAGTTTGTCTCCTTAAAGTTTGAGTGAGACAGAGTGTGTGTCTGGAGATACATGTCCTTGTGTGTGTGTGTGTGTGTGTGTGTGTGTGTGTGTGYGTGTGTGTGTGTGTGTTACAGGTCTAGTGGATGGTCCAAAGTGTTGTTATTGTCCTCCGGGTCGTCGTTGGCCAGTGGGTTGCGGCTGATGACGAGCTCCAGTCTGTCCCCTGCTTCTGTTATTAGAGGCACCGCCAGGCAGCAGTCGAAGTCCCTCGTCCTCACGTGGTTCACCTGGACGGATGGAAACGTTACGACCGTCAGAAATCAGGTTCAAGGTCTGAATTTTACATCCCATAGTAACGGAACCAATTGTTTGGCTTTTTAAAGACAGTGTTTAGTGATTAATCCTTCGAGCTAATATCTGAAGTCCCAGACCCACAGATTTCCTGCACCGAGCTCGTCCTTATCTCTATCATTACCTGCAGGATCCTGTCATAGGGTCTGAGCCCGGCTCGGTCAGCTGGTCCATCAGGTCTGATCATGTTGACGTAAACTCCTTTCTCCAAGAAGCCGTCCGACACGCTGAAGCCGAAGTCGTCGCTCTCTGGGTCTTTTATCACGGTCACCTGCAGAAGAGGAACAAGGGAAACTCATTTCTTTAAACTTCAATGAAAAACAGGACTAATACTCTATACATATAAATTCATACACTCTGAAGTATATAACATTAACTTGTAATAATTAAATGAAGTATATCTGGAACCTGGGGAACAATTAGTAACAAGCAATGTATTAAAACACTTTGTCAACTAAATGACAAGATTATCTAAATACTTTTTTTTGAGACTTCCATTTGAGACTTTACACTTTGAGATCCTGAGAATCAATGATTTAAAATAATCAACCTCTGGTGTTATGATGTTGCATCGCTTCACTGAAGCCTGACGACCACGTCTATGAACAGGCACCATTCCATAGTGTCAGAGAGATAAATGCAAAATGGATATTTTTACAATAAGTAATGACGCCCCGATGTTCTGCTCAGAAATATGGGTTAACAAAAAGCTGGAAAGTACGAGATATGAATATTACATGATCTTTTAATGAGGCACCATTTAAAGACTGTAACACTTTGGCTGACGGCCAACGATTCCATCAGTAAAACAGCCGAGGATTCACTTTAATGTACTCTCTCCCCCGGATAACAAATGTACTTCTCATTCTGTTCCCGGGCCGACGAGCAGAACATTCCTCACTTCATGACGTAACACCCCCGCGCTGTAGAAATGTAGCATCTTCCTAAAAATAAAAAAACCTCAAGAGGTCGTTTTTTTATGACCTTATAAAGTCGAAGCAGCTGAACGTTGTGTTCAGTGGCGGACGGCCCGTCGTCCGCAGCCCTGGGACGGGGGTTTGTTCCAGCTGTGATCCGTTAACGTGAGCAGTGATAATATCATCTGATGGTTTCTGGTTTACGGAGCTTCACTCGCTGGGTGATAATAAAAAAAAAGGAAGCGTGGACTCGGAGAGGTCTCTCCACTCCATTACTGCTCGTTGTGTTATCGTTGGACAAGTTGAATGTTCAGAAACAAAACAACCCTGAGGGCCGCTGGGAAATGTCCCAGTGCTGCCGACAGAACGTTACATAACTCCCCCTCACAACATTTTAAAATGTGTTTGTCTTCACATTTCCACAAGTAGACAGAACTCGCAGCAGGAGTGGAGGTTAATCATAATCTGAATTTTGGAAGCAGAGGGAAACAGGTTAATACCCACAAACATCTGGCTTTTGTCTGAAATGTCAACGGATTCAAGCAGCTCTGGCTCAGATAGACGGTGATGGAAACACGACACCCAGGTGAACGCTCTCGTTTCTTCTTATCTTGACGCTGCACCTTTTCCTGCGAGACATCACGATGCACATTGAACTTCCTGGCGTTGGTTTGTGTGCTTACTGTTTATTTTTTTCATCTTGGGAGCAATGTGCAACGGCAAATTTTTCTTTTTTTGTCTGCAAGATGCAACAAGACAGCGGGAGATAACTTTTCAGTTTCCGGGCGCTTTCGCGATGTCAAAGATTGAATCACCGTGCAGGGAGAAAAACAGAAGGACGATATACCTGTTCAAGCTAATTTCCTGCGGACCCCATGTTCCAGCCTTGACAGAGGACAGATCTTCTCACTGACGTCTCGACGGGATTTACCCAGTTGATCTTTGAGGAAAGAAGCGATCACTTCTGTTTCCCTCACAGCTTTGAACTCACCTTGTGCAGCTCCAGAGGCGTTGGGGACAGAATGCCCTGCATCTCCTCTTTAATCCGTCGAGACTCCCACGTCCTCTCCGACACCCTCAGCGAGGCCTTGGGTTTGGGCTCATGGTGCAGGAGAGGGGACTGGTTGTCTTGGTGGAGCAGGGCCTCCTGGTTGTAATGGATCTCCTGGTGCAGGAGGGAGTCTGAGAGGAAATGACAGGTTTGTTGTCAGTCCTCCTATTAGACAACAACAACCTTCGGTTCTGTCTCGTCTCACCACTGACCTTGGTGAAGTTGGGCCTCTTCGTGCAGGTGGGCCTCCTCATGCAGGTGGGCTCCCTGGTGGAGGTGTGTGCCCTGGTGCAGCAGGTTTCCCTGGTGCAGGAGAGAGTTTCTCCGCAGTGGGCTCATCCTGTTGTGGCTCATTATGGGCTCAGTTGGAGGCTTGTTGACGCCGTCTACGCCCAGACTAATGGCCGTGCCTGTCATGATGGACGCCTGCGAAAACAAATGTACACATAAACTAAGTTTTTAATAAAACAGTAGGTACCTATGACTTTTTGGCTAAAAACGTTTTTTTATTTTTAATTTGTGGTAAATTTTTGGGAGTTTGACCATTTTGATGAAGGATGCTAACGTGCCAACTGACCTCGATCTCTCTGAGGAGCTCTGATTGGCCGCAGGTCTCCAGATCCTCGAGCGCCTGACACCAGAAACTGTCCTCGGGATCCAACAGAATACCGTCCGGTTGTTGGCCAATGAACCTGTCGCACAACGAAAACACAAATTCACGAAAACATGCTGCCTCACTGTGGTGGATATTTGAAAGACACATTTTCAACCAAAACTTTTTCATGGACCTGCTTCTCAGTCTCTGTACTGTCACGACACTAAATGTGTACTAGGCATAACTTCCTCTTCGTTATATTATATATGTACTATAGCGTGAGTGTAGCGTTGTCAGCAAAGCCGCTCTGAACACAGAGAATTGCCAGGACAGGACAGGCAGGTCGTTGTGGGTAAATCCAACATGAGTAATCTTTTTTTTTTTACACTGAATACCCTCGACTGACAAGATTAGTTCACTTTCACTGTGCAAATGATTTTTTCTCTCCACCCGCAGCAGCAGTGTTATATAACCCCAGCGAATGTTGCTATCCCCACAAGGCTTAACCTCCTGATGCACAACTATGAACACACAGATATTTCAGATCCTCTGTCACCATCGTTCAGAGTCAGACCTCACACTCAAATCTGCACTTTCACACAAACTCCTGGTTCCACTGCGTTCGCGCCAACCACAGAGGCAAACACGTTTCGGTTTCAAAGCTGAATTAAATTAGACGTTAAAATAAATGTTCCCAAACGTGATTTCGGTCATTTTCAGGTGAGTGGAAGATGTAGATGTATGCCCCCGTATTTGGAATATATTAGTTTATAAAATTTAAATTAATAAAAATCCACAGGATATTTAACTGGTTGTTAAAAATGTAAAACCAAGTCTTACCCCGGTGGTTTGTCCCAGTCGTCTTCACTGAACCCTCCGTCGCTGAAGGGGTAGTTCTTCCGGTGTCCAGGAGGAGGTGTGGCGCCGCGCTGCTGCTGCTTAGCACTACGCCACTCGTGAGGGTGCAGGGTGATGCCGACTGCTTGATTACTGTACGTACCTGCAGGAGGAGGAAAGGTCTCACGTACATAAACATTTCATAAAAGAAAATCTCATCATTCAGTTCTTCTTCTTGTTTACGAAGGATTTTCCTGAGGCTCAGCTGACAGATTAGCATCA